AATGTAAAGTATGTAGACTAAACCCCACCAGATGACATTTCAGCTTGTATTTATACAACAAGAATTAATCTATTCTTGTTCTTGTTTAGTGTTTATGCCACAGATACATTTAACATAACTATAATGGACCTAACAATTGTAAATAAATACAAAATAATTACTTTTATAGGGTATTTGTAAGCTGAAAAACACAGAAATAGATACAGCATGTGGAAGTCTTTGTGTCCTCAGAACTGATTAAGAAAAGACTGTGTTGTGACTACACATACACTGATACACACTTAAATACATGCAGTGTGATGTATGTGTGTATCGTTATAAGTCTAACCTGAATAAAGTGTTTAGTCAGTATTGTTTTTTAGTAAAACATCCAAACCTCCCTAACTGCTACAAAAAGTGAATTTAAAGTACAAATACATCAGCGCATGGTTGAAGATGTAAAGATGTGAGCACAGTGGCACAAACCTTCGCAGCTCCTGTATGAGAGTGAAAACACAGTCATTCACAAACAACAAATAACAATGCATTCACACAGTCTTCTTGCACATTTTGATATCTGTACCAGTTTATTTACCAGTACCAGTTTCTTATAGATCTAACCAGTAAACATTCACAAAGTTTATGGCAGGACATTTCCGGTTGTACTTGGGTTTTCTATGATCGTCTCAGTCCCCAAACTGTGACAACCATCACCATATTATGTTTCTTTGAAGACCTTTGTTGCTGGACTGTCTGTCAGTGCTAATGGGCTGGGAGGAAGAGGAGTCGACTGGTAATAGTACCGTGTTAGGTTGGTTTTAAGCTGCATTTGTGTCAGCGGCAATTACCTAATCTAACATCCTATGCCGTGTGGGGGTTGTGAAGTAATCTAGAATGGCGTAATAAGATTTCAGTGTCTACTACCACTATTGACTACTGCTAGATGGCACATTGAGTCTGTGGATCTGTCATCAACAACATGCTTGCCTTGGATGCAGCAAGGAAAAAGACGATTGACCGACGGAGTGAGGACGTGCAATTCTTTTAGCAATGGACTAAAACAGGAACGCTGCTGCTGGGCACAAGACAGTGGGCCTCCACCATCCTGCCATGGAGGGGTCAGCTGTAAAAAAAGTGAGTTTTCTAGTTGTTTACTTGCAGCGCTGCCGCCGTCTAGTGAGTGAGAGGTCAGTGTCTGGTCTGATGTCCATCTGTCAAAGGTTTAGTTCACCTTTGGTCAGACCACATGTGTTGCTTCAGTGGGCTTACAGTCAAAGTTTATTGTGATTAAAGTACATAGATGTTATGTAACTTTTCATATGATGGACACTTTGACCACAAATATATAAACTGTGCCTTCTTACAGAATCTTGTTATTGCAGATTAAATATTATTGACACTAATACTCAACAAGTTCATTATAGTTATTTTTAATCTCTGTTATTATGAAACTATATATGTTAGCAGCACAATGTCTGTTTTCATTAAAGACTTTTCTGCATTTTAATGTGTTTTAAACACAAAATTCATTGTGCATATTTTAGCTCCATGGTGGGCATTTAAATGCTGTCTCGAAGTCCGAATTGTTCTGATCAGTGAGCTGATTTGAACATTTGATATAATATTATTGCAATGTCAAAACATTGCTGTTCAATCTTTGATCAAAGTCACATCTGAAGTGATTACATAACAAGGTCATCTTGGAGCCTGGATGGTTTTACATAAGAACAAACAGCCTGAAGATACAAGGCAGCTGTGTTGAACTTCCTAAGAAGAATAAAGTATTTTAATCTGACAGCAACATTATAATGATTAATGGTCAAAAAACGTATCTTTTGACTGATTCAGTCCAACAGACAGATTGCTTAGTATCACAGAGCGGCATCATCAAGCTAACTTCTGACACTTCAGAGCATTTCTGCAAGTAGGTGAGAGCTTCCTGTAATCCATCTGAAACCTTCAGGCCTTAATTGGAACAATGGCTTTCATCAGGCCTTACACCTGACTGGTTATCTCCCCTGCAGGGGCCCAAGAAGGCCCTGAATCTGGAGGCTTATAACTACAGCAGGAATAGTAAAAGGCACAATACCAAATACAGAGTTTGGGATCATATTTCAGCTGTTGGACTTGTTTATGTCAGCGTCTTGGTCTTATTGGCTTGCCTGACTTTGCCTGAGAAACGCGAGTCATAACAGCATCTGCCATCTGCTCCCTGGTCGTTGTAATCTGTGTCTCCTGGCTATCCGGTTTCAGTGGGTGTGGCAGAAGTAAACGATTGTGTTACAACCACGTTTTCCTTCCACTGTAAGTGGCCTGACTCTGTGTGGTTACATCATTTTATTTGCCACTACAAATAAAGCTCTCTGTCACACACCAAAACTGCATAACTACCTCTCTGACAGACTGGCAGAGCTGTTATGTCACCTTCATTAAACGAAGCTCACGTACTTAAGCAGCACAGCAGGCACCGTCTTTTTTAGCCTTTAGCTAATTATACCCTCTGTCACATGAAGGGACGATCACAACAAAGATGTTTTGACAAACCAGGCTGTGTGCATCAGTGTTCACATGCAAAGTAATTAACTTGTGAAATCACTAACAAAGAGCTTCGTTTTTTCTTTTTCTCTTGTTTGACTGCATATGACATCTCACAGAAACTGGGATATGGGCTTCTCAAAAAAGGTAGTTTAAAGCACAAATGTTGAATGATAGATTAGATTTGATTGATAGCAGAATCATGTATATGTTACCAATCAAATATTGCTATCAGTCAAATATATAGTCGTTATAGTAGGATTAGAATTAGCTAGAAATAATCATCTTTTATATTAAGTAGCTTCATCCATCAGTACTGCCGGGTGAATGAAGCAGTGTATTCTGTGTTTAAAATGATCTTCAATGACACTTCGATTAAATGTTACAATTCTGTATCTCCAACAATCAAAACTATGAGGACATTCTGTTACCATGTGATAGTTAATAACAAGGTAGAGTCAAACTTGTTTTTTTTTTTCACATTTATGAGCTTTAAGAAGAATTTTGAGTTGGTCCATCCACAGGTGACAGCAGCAGTGAGCAGAAGAAACTCAACGGCTCCTCAACAGAAGCGCCGAGCTATCATAACCTGCACCGAGAGCTGCTGCTCAGCCATAAACGGTACGCCGAAAACTCCTTTTACTCTGTGGTCTTAAAGTCGTCACCCACTGAAACAGAGATTGGCAGGAATTTTGTGTTTGCATGTGTCGGTAAAACTGTAGCTCTGACTTTGAAGGGGTCTGCTGCTGGAGGAGAAACCGGAGCTGAAGCGAGTGTTGGAGCAGCGCAGACTGGAGCTGCACAAGGAGGCGGAGATGGCACAACGACAGCCCTCAGACCTGGAGATGGAGCTCCGCAAGAGGCAGCAGAAACTGCAAGAGGTAAGAGGCACATAACTGAGAGGGATTTCACAAAATACTAACAGAATACAACCTGGCTCTTCTCAGGCTTTCTCTTTAACTTTGTTGGGATAAACTGATGTCCTTCCCCCCAACAGTACGAGCAGGAGGAGATCAGGCAGCGAGAGAGTCAGCAGAAGATCCCAGAGTTTGTCCGTGTGAAGGACAACCTGAGGCGCACACAGACGTTTGAGCAGTGAGGCCCTGAGGCTCTCCCATCAGCCCCTGCAGCATCTCACCATAGTGGCCCTAAATCTGGATGTTCACAGTCTACAGAGCTACAACCCGCATACACCATTTTGCTTTACGTTTCTTCACAATGTACTTTGAGTTATCACATTTTGTGTAAGCAATCACTCATACCAGGCTAACATGTAATCCAGAAATACACTATTTTGCCAAAAGCACTCTCTTGTCTGCTTTCACATGCATAGGAACTTGAGTGACATCCCATTCTTAATCTGTAGTGTTTAATATGATCTCAGCCCACCCTTTGCAGCTACAACAGACTCAACTCATCTAAGAAGGCTTTCCACAAGGTTTAGGAATGTGTTTGTGGGAATTTTTGACCATTCTTCCAGAAGGTCAAAAAATTCCATTAGTTGGATGAGAAAGCCTGGTTCACACTCTCCACTCTAATTCATCTCAAAGGTGTTCTGTCAGATTGAGATCAGGACTCTGTGCAGGTCGGTCAAGTTCCCACAAAGTTGGGAACATGAAATTGTCCAAAATGAATTGGTACGCAGAAGCATTAAGAGTTTCTTAAGGAGTCAAGCTCAACTCCTGAAAAACAACCTCACACTATAATCTTCCACTACCGAACTTTATACTTGGCACAGTGCTGTCAGACAAGTACTGTTCTCCTGGCAACTAGCAAACCCAGACTCAAGCGTGATTTGCCACTCCAGAGAACAGGTCAGTACTGCTGTAGAGTCCAGTGGCGGTGCGCTTCACACCACTGTACCTAACGCTCGTGCTTGGTTACGTGATGCTTGGATGCAGCTGCTCGGCCATGGAGACCCATTTCATGAAGCTCTCTACAGACTGTTCTTGAGCTACTCTGAAGGCCACAAGAAGTCTGGAGAGATTGACTGCAGAAAGTTGCTGACCTCTGCGCATCCGTTGACCCCATCCTTGTGATTTTTAAATGACCTACCACTTAGTGGGTGAGTTGCTTTCATTCCCAAATGTCCTTCACTTTGTTGTAATATCACTAACAGCCGACTGTTGAATATTTAGTAATGAGGAAATTCCACAAGTGGACTTGTTGCACAGGTGGCATCCTATCACTGCACCAAGCTGGAATTCACTGAGCTCCTGAGAGCAACCCATTCTTTCACAAATGTTTGTACAAGCAGTCTGCGTGCTAGGCTCTTGATTTTTTTTTATCACACAAGTGATTGAAACAGCTAGACTGAATATGAATGAGTGAATACTTTTGGCAATATAGTGTACTTCCATAAAGTCAGTCACAGTTCTTTTTCTGATTGGGAAGTGAAATAATAGAGAAAGCTCGCACTGAGCTATGAGTCTGGATTTTTTAAAATGTTTTTCTATACTAATTATACTATTTTTTTTTCCAAATTAGTTTCACATGCTTCTTCCAGGATCAAATGAGCATGAGATATCAGTTAAGCCTGATTCTGTCCTTCGTAAAGACCATTATGCAACTGCTGAGAGGAACATTTTCAACAGAGCTGTTTTGTATGAATAAAAATTCCCCAACACTGCAAAATATGCATGTTTGTTTATTCTTCTCTGTCATGACTTGGGATTTTTTTAGAGTGTCTGAGTGCTGTGGAAATGAAAGGTTTATAGCTTGCTGTGATGTTTTGTTGCACTGGACACCATTCAAAGCACTGGGGACTGATTTGCATGCGGCTCCACTCCCCGAGGGCTCTCACGGTTCTTTCACATGGATATGGGACTTTGCTTAATTAGCTGATCTTTTCATTCCATCACGCCATGAGAGGAGAAAGCACAGGCCATCTGGAGAAGGCTTTTCATCATCTATAGACTAGGAATACCCAAGGGTCACTGATACAACCGGCTGAGGGCACATAGTAGTAGCCAGTTTGCTGTTTCAGAATTTATTTTAAGTAGTTTTAGCAATTATGTCATACACAAAAGAAACCCACATGTGCAAATTGAATTAACAGAACAACTTTAAATGTGCAATAACACATAAGTACTGTACTTTTAAAGTTAAGATGTGAGGTAACATTATTGTATAATTATACGCATGCAAATAGCCTAAAGGCTATTCTCATAATTTTAATTTTTTAAATAGTTTAGCATTTCATAAGTTACATACATGTATTTTGTGTAAGAACTTGAGCACTAGTTGGTTACAGATGTCAAATAAATGTAGTGAAGAGTAAACGTGCAACACTGTCTAAGGCAAAGTAATAATAAAAGGACCAGCATCAAAAAAAATAAATTAATAATAATAATAATAATAATAAATGTAAGCGAATTACATGGAAATGAATTACAAAGAAGATCACATGGTTAAATATAGCTTTGTGGAAACTAAACAGCAATTAAAAGTATATTTCTCTGTCATTTTAATTATGTTTTATTTATGTTAATGGGTGAATGGCTCACGCTGTACACAATTCTTCATTATCATGGCGGAGGAAAGAGGAGAGCGTGGTCTTCTCAGCCAGCACTTACCAGCCAGCTGTCCTGTTTTCTTTCTTTCTTTTAACAAAACTTTGCCTCTACCGCCTCCCTTTCGCCTTTTGTGCCTTTTCTCAAATGAAGCCCCCCCTCAGCAGTCGCGTGCTGTGTCAACAAGCAAAGCGTGTCTGGAAAGTCTGCAGCGTCGGACCAAACCAATACAAGAAGCGAGGGGGGCGTTGCAGACAGAAAAAATAAAATCCCATTCGATTAAGCCGAAATTACTCTATTTTACAAAAGCGTGAGCTGTGACTTAAATGTAAGTTAATTTAAAAATGAATATTTTTACATAAATACTGAAGCAAAAATCAACAAAGCTCGCCCGTAGTTTGATCCAGAAAGTGGACTCGTCTGAAACAGATGTCCGGAGCTCTTCCCTCACATCTGACCAGAGAAAGTTTGAACTCTCGCTGCCTCAGGAAAGATGCTGATGTAGAGGAACAGACCGCGAGCTGAAACGTAAGTACAGACTATTTTCTGTGCGTTAGCAACACCCGCTAAAAAGAAGAAGTCATAAAATAACCGTCGATGTTAATGTAAACAGCAAAAAGGTAGGCAAAGCTGGAAGTTTTTATACAATTAAATTTTAGAGAAACGTTACTGAGCAGTTAGCCAAACTGGCTATTTGTGCGGTATATAATGCTTAAAACAGAAATAACTTCAAGGGATATGCTATTATGACACATCTAAACATTTCTCTCTTAATCTCTCCTTTAATCCATCATGGTTTAGATGAAAATCTTTTTGACTTTTTATTTCACTGCTTGTGTGCTTGCTTATTTTTACACTCATATAAAAGCGAGCTAAGCTAAACCATAAATATAATGTGCCTTGTGTTGATATGTGTAGATTAGTGAGCAGCTATGAAATGCTTATTTGATTTATGCGTCAGTAGTAACGACCCACTAGTATAATATGGTCTGGCGATGATACAGAGTAAGTACACTCACTCTCAGTACTTGAAAACATGCAAATCCAAGACTTTTACTTGTAATGGATTACTGGGGTGTGGTGTTTTTACTTGAGTGAAGCACTGACTACTACAGACCAGAAAAAGATGTCAGAAATACAACCACCAGACTCAATAATAACTGGGCTGCTAAATGAATGAACAGGTTGCTTTGAAAGATAAACAACCCTGCAGGACTTATGGTTGGGAAAAGGCTTGTCAGTACCAGCTGTTTTGTTGTCCTCAGCAGAAGAACAAACACAGACAGGCATGAAGTGTCACTGTGATGCTGGAGACAACACCTCTGTGTCGTCCTCCACTTCTTTTGTGAGTGGTGGGCACTTGAGGGTGACAAGCTGTAACCACATCCCGGCGATGGTCTGAGATGACCATCAGTGTCCATTCAGAGGCTTCAGAAATGATGACTCAGAGGGACAAGGTGTCATGAATCATGATCACCCCCAGCCAGTGCTTCAGCCTCTGGAGAACAATGGAGGATCTCTTCTGGCCTTTGGTATTTACACTGTCACTGGGCTGTGACAGAGCTGGTGTGTCTGGTCAGCATATGGCCTCCAGTGACTGAAAGCAGATCGGCTTGGTGCTTATTACCCCTGCATTGTCTGCCTGAAAGTCTTGTTCTGAATGAAACTTGTCAGAGGAAAGATGCTGACAACATATCAAGTCTTTGATACCATTCCTTTTGAAGCTCATGCTATCACAGCCTCTTTTACTGCTCTTTTCAAACTCAGCACTGCTTCTTAAGGCAAGGATCTCACTGCAGTGATGTCCTTTGTAATACAATACTTCATTTTTTTCTCTTGCCTGCAACTCCCCCACTCTGGTACACTTTTCTTCCAGCAGCATATATTGTCTACAGAGCGGATCCATTTTGCTGAATGGATTTTGGCTTTCCATGAGACTCTGAAAAAAAAAGAAGGCATGCTGTAAAGTCGTTTGGTTTCTTCCATAGTATCAGCATTCAGAAGAGAATCTTAATTACAGGGTTTGAACAGGCCTCGGTCTGGTTTCAGGCAACCCTCACGGTCCCCGTTGGTAATTCCAGGGCCGACCACAGTGGTAATGAGCACGGAGGTGATGGCTGCAATCCAGGAGTACGCAGCTCCAGAGGCTCATGGGAAAGGGTGGTGGGGGAAGTCTGGGAGACAGTAAATCCACATTGTGATCTTTTGCCATAAACATCAACTTCCGTAGATGTTACACAGTCATGGTCCAGTGACCAGTGAGGATGGGTGGGACAGTCATCTCGTACTCCTGATGTGTTTCTAGGCAGACATCATAAGCAGTGATCAAACACTTCCCTGAATTAAGATGTTTTGACTACATCAATCAGGTCTTCCGGGTGGAGACTGTGCTATCAGCAGCTTTACTTCTGGAAATGGACTGCTATTCCTGTCACAGTCAATCGTGAAAAGTCTTGGGGTTTTTTGGCGCTCCTTTACAGCGTAATGTCAACAATCCCACGGCTCCAGGTTCTTATGAAAGCTGTGACGAATGGCATCAGCGTTTTGGCAATAAACTGCGACTTCAAGTGAGAGTTTTTCCCAAACTCATCCACACACCCACCAACTCACCCACTCACTCACTCAATCAGCCTAGACCTCCGACCACAGACTCTTGTGAAAGTCTTCAGACAGTTATGGGGTGTAAGTGGGTAAATCCCACATTACCCTGTCTGTCTCTGATTACCAGGCTGGATTCCTGTTGACGTATTTAGCTTTAGATTGCTGCAGCATGGAGCCATGTGTCTGGGAGCAAAACCTTGCACCTTAAAATCTCAGCCCTGCTCCATTCTGATACTCTCTCGCTGTCTCAACAGCCTTGTCTCAATATTGACCCGGCACAGCCGCTCAAGCCACAGTTGTCAGCAGATATTGCGCCTGCAGCAGATTATTTAGGCTGGTTTTGGGACACAGGCCCTTTGTTGCAGTGTTGTTTTACTAACTCGAGCTGCTTAGCTGTGTTCCATTGTGCCACTGGCTGCTCATAGCTGTGTCAGTTCGCATGAGTTGCTGTTTTGAATGGAGAAAACCTATAGGACACACAATAATATCCTGTCAGAGAAGGTTTTCATTCACGCAGGCTCTGTGCCTTCCTTGTCTCTACAGGAAAAGGCCTGATACAATCACCAAACACAGGAGCTAAGGATTATACACAGAAGCCTTACTGTCATGTGGTGTCTATTTTCATGGCATCTTACCTCCCCTTTTATTCCTGACCAGTGACACATCATTCACTTTTCGAATGAGGTTTGGCTGGCCCAAAAAGTTTATGAATATGTGGCATTGATGCAAGGCAAGGAAATAACATCCTTTAACCATGTTAGAGACCATAATGTTGCCTCTTGTGATCTGCTAGCTTTTTTAGAAGAAGTCTGAGACATGTGAGATCCAAAATAAATTAAATGACCTACAAAATTGAGAAAACAAAGGCAGCATTCTCTGTCTCCGCTACCCTAAGGTAATTTCAAGACAACAACCACACACAGGCTCATGGTCTGAATTTAAATGGCTGTCAGCTTGTTGAACGCTATTTCCAATTTGTTGTTGTCACTGTCTTTCTCTTCTTGCTGTTGTTCCACTCCACACCTTGTTTTAGTTCATTATTAGTCACATGTTTGCTGGAGAGCAACAATGGCACAGAGCGGGTCATAAACAAGAATTGTGTCGGCCAGGTTTTTGTGCTCAGCATTGCACAGGAGTCAGCAGGCACCTTGTGATCTGATGCTGCGAGTACAAGCCCAGCATTTAGACATTCTTCCACTTCAAAGCTCCCAGGGGGTTTTCTGGACACTGGTTGAATGGGAGCCGAGGAAGGGGTGCACAGGGGGAACAGGTGCAGTCCATAAGTGGGGTAATTCCCGCTGCCATCTGCTTTCTTTTTCGGGGTCTGGGCTCTTTAAACGCCCTCTGACACGCCTCATGGCGACACACTCCCCTAGCCGCAGCCGCAGCATGCCCCGTCACCATGGCACCGTGATTCAGATTAACCCCGCACATGTGCCGAGTCAACCGTGGGGGTCTGCTTCTTTTGTGAGTGAGCAAAGGGAGGGCGACAGGGGTGGAGGAGGGGGAGGGAGATGGAGAGCTGCACAGATAAGTGTGTAAAAAGGACACTTGCCAGTCTTTCACTTTTGTTAAGTGAAGCAGCAGAGACAGACTTATCGAATCCATGTGAGGGGGAATACAAGCAGTTTATTCCTAGCAGTAAACGGTCTCATTTTAGTCATCTGAATAAACTTTGTTGTTTCCAACAGGTATATATAAAAAAGTCAAGAGCAGAGAGACAAGATGACGGCCATCGAGAGTAAAGAAGAGATCAGCGACACGGACAGTGGGATTATCCTAAACTCCGGTAAGGACTGTACTAAACAGATGTCCAGTCAAGTATCTGCATCTTTCATTTTTGCAGATTTCATACTGTTACTTACAACTAAGAGTATAATGGAATTTGAGGCTCATAGCTATATTAACATTTGAGAAATGAAATAAAAATAAATCAGGTGACATTTTGTTAAATAAACTTATATATTTTTACTTTGTAAATATGTAATTGGGACATTTTGTCTGACTTTCCTCTAACATACTGCATCTTTAGCATTTTTTTAAAAGTTTGTTGCTATTTATCAACCCACGCTTTACATCAGTACTGATGTACTATATCTGCTGTAGCTCCAGTATCAATGCTGACATAACAAGATAGCAAACTTCTTAGACCGCTACTCAGTGTAAGGTTTCTGCGATAGCTGCCCTGTATGAAAAGTATTGGCAGTTTCTATAATGCTTAATCCACCAGTCTGTGCAAACAGAATGATAGTTTTAATGCTATAATATAATTAATGTTGATATTCATACAAAAAAGCAGAAAAAATGGCAAAGCAGATTATTATTATTTTTTATTATTAAGAAGCAAACTTGTTTGCATTCCTGAACAGAAAGTTACGTTTTAGTTGTTTAATGTTATGCTTGAGTAATTTCTGCCTTCTCAGAGAAGTTCATTGTGCTGGCTCAACTTTGGGTTTATTTTATTTTTTAGCTTTAAAAATGTTTTTAACAGATTTCTCAAATATTTGCATTTTCCTCTTTATAAGCCCTCTGTCTATTTTAACTCATTATCAGCTCACATAAGAATAATACAGTTTTAATATATGTGGAAGGTACTGTGTGTCTTTCTGACTCTGTTTCTGTCATGAAACTAATTAGAGGGGTGGAGCGTGGGCAAAGAAAGACTCCATTAAACTCTGTGGATTAGCCTTTTTTGGAAAAATTATCTGTGTTTAACTATAGTATTTAATACAGTAATGTAGTGCATTTAAAAACATCTCGTCACAGCAGAGCAAATGTTAGCTTATATGACAGCATATGATGCAGACGGGAAAGTACAATACAGCTTCAGTATTGTACATAATGACCGTGTTATACGGGGTATGAGAATAAATGTTTGCACATCAGTTGTGCAGCACTGGCTGAACTGATAACAACACTTTATATACACTATATAAAATATAATAAAAAATATAACAGTGAAATTATTTTTAAGTCATTTTAAGTCAGGTTCAGACGCAGGTAAAGCCTGATTTTGTGTGTGTTTTTTGCAGGTCCCGACAGCCCCACGTCCCCAGTGAAGGACCTCACCACCCACACCAGAGCCCTGAAGCTGAAGCACCAATCTCTGGAGGAGCGTTTGGAGATCTGCCTGCTGGAGCTCCGAAAACTCTGCATCAGGGAGGCAGTAAGTGACTCCTGGATTAAAGCTTTAAATCAGTATTGAAGATTGCTTCTTTTTACATCATAACAATACTTTTGTTTTGTCCTCACAGGAGCTGACAGGTGTACTGCCCTCAGACTATCCAATGATGCCAGATGAGAAGCCACCACGTGTTCGGAGGAGAATTGGTGCTTCATTCAAGCTGGATGAAGGTCTGATCCATCTAGATAAACAGGTACAAACCACCATCGGTGTTAAGTGTTAGTGGAAAGAGTCAGCACATCAGCTGAGATGTAAGGTCAGAGTTTGTCTTTTTTTAGGACTCGGAGTTGCAAGCGCTGGAAACTGAATTGGCCCTTCAGCGGCAGATTTTTGAGGCAGCCCGCAAACTCTCGCTTGAGGAGAACCTCAGTAAGCCACAGAAGAAGGGCCGGCTGCAGCAGTGCAAGAGGGAGGAGAAGAAAGTGAAGGAACTGCAGCAGGCCGTGTTCCAGCATAGAATCAAGAGTGAGTGCAACTCACCCAGCGTCAGCAGCCAGAACAAAGGTGAGTGACTTTGCTGCCCCCTTCAGGCCAGGCTGTGCAACGTGCAGTGCACTTAATGGAAATGTAAAATGTTTGGCGTTTGTGTGCAGATCTGTGCATGTCTGATGACAGCTCACTCTCCGATGTGGTGGCGCTGGATGATGGTGAGCTGAAAATACATTTCTACCTGTATGATTTTAAGGTTATCATGACATTCATTTAAATATGCAGTAGAAGAAAAGACAGCTCTGATAGAGCATGGTGTCACATTCAACATGCAAATCATTCTACATGTCTTTTTATGAAATTACTTGCGGGTCATGTGTAAAAACAAACATGGGTTTAAAATTCCAAAACTCACTTTAATAATGTGATTTAAATATTTTTAAAAATAATGAATACTCTACTGACTTGTTTTCCGTTTAGAAATCATTATTTAATGTTCTCTCCAATCCTGTATAGATGTGGACATGTCCAGCCCCCTTTCACCTCCAGTGTTGGACGCTTCATATTCAGATCCCCTTCAGCTGTCAGCCCAGACTGTGCAGACATCGCACCAGTCCTCAAGCGAGCTCAGTGTGGAGCACGAGCCCGCTCCCATCCAGAATTCCCCTTGGAAGGAGTCCAGTCTGGACCATCCTTACCAAAAGGCCACCAAACCTCCGTCTGCCTGCAGCAGCAGGTCCAGGTAAGGACTGAAGAATGCTAACAACTAGTGAAATACACTATTATACTCCAAGCTAGATTGTACCTTATTTTACAGTTTTCCATTTGATAGATGAACTTAGATGAAATCAGGTGCAATGTCAGCCTTCTTGTGCTGGATTAGCACATAGTAAAGCTTCCTTTTTCTGAATGTGTGCGATATCTCATGTCATGTCTCCTGTGTGCAGTAGCCCAGCAGCAGCCCAGGTGTCTGCAGAGAGCATCAGGATTCCTCTCACTCAGTTTGTGAAAAACTCTGCCCTGCGTCACAGCAGCTCCACCAGCGCCCCCTCCACCCCGGAGCTGTTCATACGCCGGCAGTACTCCCAGTCCTTCAGGTACACAGACAAGTTATGTCAGAGTCATTTGCATTATCAGAGGACTTAAAGACAATAATGTTGTATGTATTAATGTTTCAAATTTTACACAATGTCCCTTCTCAGACTTCCAAAAAGAAAGCCATCTGACGTGGAGCGTTTCAGCTCAGAGAGCAGTCGAGGTCGAGCTAGGCTGCCCCAGCGACGCTGCGTGGCTGACTTCATGGTGCGCTCCCCGGAGTACTCTCCTCTGCGTCCTTACCAGTCCGGCTCTGAGGACAGCAGCTCAGAGCACTCGTCATCCTCTACCATTAGCTCTCCTGGCAGGGAGAAGCCGACTGAGATCCCAAAGCTCTGCCCACCGCCTTACGGGTTCCACTTTGGAGCACAGAAGAAAGGGGCCTCTCATTTCCCCAGTATGCACAAAAATACGAGCACCAGCTATGTTAAGGCAGTGGCGGAAGATGGACCCCTCTCCCCGCAAGCTCCAGACATGGGGAAGTGCTTCATCTCTACTGTGGCACGCAGCACTCAGCAACGACAGTGGCAGGAGGGGACACCTTCACCGAGAAGCATCTTAAAGCCCCCTCCGCCTTACACCAGGCTCGTGCGGACGCCCTCGCTGAAAGAGTACCCAAACCACGCCGTGAGGCTGCTGCCCCGGGAGGTCGTATCAGAGGAGCTGAAATCGTGGCATCAAAGGAATCAGCTACAGAAGCTACTGCCAAGCTGCGGGGAACAGCAGAGCGTTACGAGCCCCATTTCACCTCACCTGCCTCCTTTTGCACAGGTAGGTACAAGCACCAGCTATGTTAAGGCAGCGGCGGAAGATGCATTAATATGTTTGACTCTTAACATATTAATGCATTGAAGCTGTTACTTTCGTAAATTAGATCAGTGATTCCAAAAGTGTGGGCTGGGATACTGCAAAGGTACTCAAGTTAGTATGTGTGCCGTTATTTATATAAAAAGTCAGGTTAAACTGGTAGTAGGTGGTGGTTAGTTTGTGGTATTACTCGTTACACTGACCTAAATTTAAAGCTCTTTTATTGACGTTTGTGTCCTAGTGATATGTGGGTCACACGATGGCATTAATGCTTTGCATTTGACTGGGTAGCATTAGCAACTAAGAGCCAACAGCCTGTGTTTTTATGTTTTGGTTTGGGGTTTTTTTTTTTTTTCAAATACATCACTTTCTCTTGTTTTTTGATTAGAGGTTGCTTGGTCCCCATGGGATTTCTGGCAAATTGACACATTTTCACTTGAAAACAACATGAAATATTTTTTACTGAACTAGATTAGAGATCTAATGTATTTACAATGTGCTGGCTTTGTGACTTTTTTCACAGGGTTCAGGTAACCTGGTTCTCCAGAGGGCTGTAGACGGGACTCCCCTTCAGTGGTTTGTCGCCGAGGATGCTGAGATTGTGAGCCAGGTGTAGCTGACACGCCTAAAACCCCCTGCAGTATGATGACTCATTCCTTTATTTATTAAGTCTTTGGACTCTCTGTGAGATTGTTTGTTGACATAATGCAGAAAACGTGGACCTGTTGGTATCACTGATTAATTTAATGTAAGGTGGTATGCCAGTTTTATTTATTTGGTAATACATCTGAGGTGAAATAAATCTGATACAGTTTCTTAGCTTATTTCAACAAAGACCATAAACTTGCTGTTGTTTGAAGACCTTTTTTTGTGGCTGGAACACATTTTGCACATGCAGTTCACCCACAGTAGATTTAAAATAGCTTTCCTCATTTCTAATATAATTTTTGACTTATATTCTATATTTATTATTTAAAGACCCCCCCCCCTTTTGCAACATAGACTTATCACTAAAACTATGATACGCCACCTATAAGCACGCACAGCAATGAGTTTTTAAAGGTATATGTGTAGATATACATAGTGAAATCTGTCTGATAATGATGTGAAGTGAGCTGAATCTTAACATTTGAATCTTGCTTATTAACTCCTATTAACCACTGATGCCTTTAAGGGCAATTTTGGTGAAAGTTTTCACTGCGGTATGGTGTTTCTTACTAACCGAGTGATTGTATCAGTTTTGATATGTTTTGTATATTTATAATAAAAATATTACCAAAATGACCCATCTGAGTGTATCCTGCCTCTCGCTTTATGTATGGGCTCAAAGTGTGGTCATAAATATTTTGTACTTGTAAATCAGTTTTGTGTGTGTAAAAAGAATTTGTGTGTGGACTTAGCCAAAAAGTACGTGTGAAACTCTGCACTCAAGTTTCAAGTTACAAGTACGAATTTTGACCCCATTTTTCTTCGTTTCATCTGATTGGCCAATGTCATGTCAATCACAAATTTAATAATCCAATAGGAGAACAGAGGGGTTTGGCTATCCGGTCGTTAAGTCTGACGTCACTAGCCGTGTCTGGACCTAAACTCCGCTGCAGGTCCATATATCAAAGATCACTATGGCATTATTGAGAGTTGAAAAACTGTCTAAAGTCTTTCATCTTTAATAAAATGATC